ACCCTCCACTGAGACAAGTGGATTGTTGTCATTACCATGGGAGATGGTGACCCACATTGCCTCACACCTTCCTGCTCAGTGTGTCATCACTGTGCTGCCAAAGGTTAGTTTTAAATAGCTTTTGGCTCATCGCTTCCATAAAGTTTCTCTGAAGTTGTCTTGTTGGCTAATTTTCATGCTAATTTGTTTGTTCGAACACAGTATCACTAAATAACTGTGATATATCTGTCTGTTTCACTCTGTACCCTCAAAATATATAAGGAAAACTAACAGTCTTATGGCTTTTCAGTAAAGTTTATCTCTGAAATGTATTTTTGGATGGTGGCTCGTCTGTGACGTGCCAAACAGCGTAGGAGAAACACTAATTTGTAAATTGAAAGTGCTTTATTCAGTGTTTTGACTGGTTTTAACCTTCTGGTTTGTTTGCTTTGGAGAGGATTAGACCTCTATGGATAGTTTGGCTCTCGGTAAAAACCCTCTGAACAACAAACACTGAAGGAGTTCTGACTGTCAGAAGTTTCAGCTGGTTGTAATCTGCAATCCTCACATTTATGAAGCCATTTTTTAAAAGTATTTTGAATCGTGCATTGTTTATATTCATGCTCACAAGCGCAGTCATCCTCCTCCCTGCCTTTGTTGGCACATTGCTGTGTTTGTTGGTGTGTTACTGCCGCACATTGATGAGTGGAATAGAGTGAAGCCATTGACAGGAATGTGCAGGTGTATCCTGTTCATATCGCTATTCTAGTTCAGAAACTCCACAGTGAGCCTTATGACTTTATCAATCTGTAAGATATTGGACATTTTCCCTCTTCCTCCTCTTTTCAGGTCTGTCATGCACTGGGCAATGTGGGTAAGGACAACACCGCTTGGCAACTCAGGGCACGCAGACTAATAGGATCCCGAGCTGGCTTCCCAGTGGGGCCAAGGGAGGACTTTGACTGGCCTTCCGCATGCCTAGAGATGGAGCAGCTGATAACCTGCTGGACAGGACAAGCACACCTTGTGGCCAGACAGACCCAGGAGGATGCGGGTGAAAGGGACCAAGTGAGGCAGCAGCAAAGGGCAGGGCAGGATGGGGAAGCCATAGCACAAGCGCAGGAAGATGGTAGAGAGGATGAGGTGGAAGGGGTGGGAGTGGAAGCGCAGGAGGTTGCGTATGGTGTTGATGAAGGGATGGAGGTGGCAATGGAAGGTGAGGATGAGGAAATGCAGCCCATCATCGCAGGTGGAGATCAACTGGCACGATTGAGAGAGGAGTTTGAAGAGAGGCTGGAGGATGATGCAGCAGCACTAATGGAAGAAGAAAGGGACCGCGCGATGGTGTTTGGTGGTAACGAGGGGCAAGATGGTGCTTTTAATCACCAAGAAGACTTGGTGGACCCCAGGAATCTGGGTAATGGAAGACAGGGAGCAATGGAGCAACGTCAAACCCCCAGAAGTCCTAGCCCACCTCCAGCGCTGGAGTGCATCACCCTACCTTCAGGCCACATTGCCCAGGTCAACTCAGTGCTCCTTGTGGGGGGAGCGGGGGCAGTTTGTGCCACAGGCTCCAGAGACTGGAATGTTAAACTGTGGGATCTACAGGCAGGCCCTAGTGGCACGCTGCTGCATACACTGGGAGGACAAGGTGACTTCAGCACTCATCGGGGCTGGGTGTGGTGCCTGGCATCTCAGGGGCCTCTGTTGGCCTCAGGCGGGTTCGACAGTACGGTGAGGCTGTGGGACCTACAGGCCGGTGGTGCAGAGAGGGGCCTGATCAGGGCTGGAGCTGCTGTCCTCTGCCTGTCCTGTCAGACGGATGTATTGCTGGCTGGTACATTTGACAAGAGGGTCAGCATGTATGACACCAGAGGTGAGGGGGTTTAGCATATCACTTGCTTTTCAGTTTTAGTGTGCATGAAGTGCAAATAAAATCTAAAAATGTGATGATAGAGCGGTGACGTGTGTCATAAATCTTAAATCAACACACTTCTCAATTAATCTTTGCTAGCAGTTAGCTTTGTAAGAGATTATAGAAAGAAATCACTATATGACATAATTCTGTCTACAGCTGCTGAGCCCCTGGTAAAAAGCCTCCGTCTCCATGGTAACGCTGTAATGTGCCTAGCTGCAGATGACAAGTACATCATCTCTGGGAGCAAAGACTGCACTGTGGCCGTCTATGACCGTAGGGCAGGCAAGGGCTTGAAGAAACTCCGGGTAGACGCAAACACACAAACACACATTGCATTGCATTTGTGTGCATATCTGCGCAGATGCGCCTGTACATAAAGACTAACTCCAATCAACCACTCCATTTCTAGCTGAGCTCTTACCTGCTGTCCATGAGCTACAGTGGCTGTGAGGTATGGGCAGGAGACAACAGCGGCATGCTCCACTCCTTTTCCATGCAGGCGGGGACCCTAAAACCCCTGTCCAAGTTTGATGTGGGACACACAGCTCTGGTCACTGGCATCCACAGGTCCCCTGGGAGCCTCTACACCTGCTCATCTGATCGCACTGTCAAGGTCGGATGAGGCAGATTCATTGTTAGCTGTTAAACCAACTCCTGAACAGTCTTTATTGTAAATTCTGGTCTGTATTGCAGGTCCATATCCCTTGTGCTCCTCCAAGGACGTTATGCACACTGAATCACCAAGCTGCAGTCAATGGGGTGAGTGCTTTGTGTCACAACATATAGATGATTAAAATGTGCAGTTGTTTACCTTTTGAAGATGGTATTGTTACTGTAATCATACAAAGATCATTTTTATTTAACAAGGCTTTATGTTTGTGGCCTGTGTGAGAAGATAGCCTGAGTGGATGTCACAAAGGTTTGTTAAGGGGGGAGCCGATGATCCTCTCAGCCATCTTGACAAGTAGCCGCGGGTCTTTCTTTTCAGCTGCGGTGCAGCCGGAGAACCACACAACACAGCAGTTCGTTATTATACTCTCAGTTGTGCCGTACTAAAAGCGGATCAGGAGTTCCTGAGGAAACCTGTTACATGTCAGAGTCCTCAGAGAGAATATCCTTTTGCTGGGCTCTTTTGATGATGTGGGAGGTGTTCAGACTTCAGGTCAGGTCCTCTGCAATGCGCACCTTCAGGAACTTTGCCTCTGCCCTGATGTCCCTGCTAAGAATACCAGGCTAGCTTTTTCTTACAGTGAGCTGTTAAAGCGTCATGCACTTCTCCTAGGAGATCTTACCCGCTCACAAAAGTCACATAGTGCAAGAACAGGTGCTCAGGGCACAGCGTGGAAATCAAACGGGCACCATTTTCCCTATTACAAATCGTTCTACCAATAGAATGATTTTGAAGCTGTTATTCCAAGGTAAAAACTTGCATAATGTTGCTTTAATACAGTTGTTAGTGTGGTTTTGCTATGTTTTTAAAGACTATTCCAGGCTCATCCTTATTTCTGAAATGTTCTTCCTCTTCTTTCTTCAACCATCAGCTCAGTGTGGAGGCTGGGGTCCTCGCCGTAGCCTCGGGGGATGTGTCTGTGGAGGTCTGGAGGCCCAGAAAACGAACACTTGAAAGCAGGTGGTGAGGCCACCTGATGCCTATCGACACCACGCTGCTCTTTTAGCATTTTGAAATTTACAACAACTACATAACTCAAACAAAGAAACAGCTCTCTTGCTCTGCAGGCTGGCTTTATCAAGACAGATGTTAGCAGTAACTGATCAAATGGACACAGGCAGGTAGGACTGGAAGTATAGACAGTGGAGCTGTGTGTGGTACATACTGTATGGCCAAACTGATTATTTTATTTTGCAGCTCTGCCAAACTGACATGTTGGAAATAGTCACTACCAGTTGTTTAATTTAGTTGTAATGCTGATTAATTTTTAATCCATTCTTCTTTGTTCTTGTGTTTATGTATTGTTACGTGGTAGAGGTGAGGTTGGGAAGGTTCAAGTCACTTGCGTATTGAGATTAACCTTTTTTTTTATTCCTTGTTTGATCCTGTTGGGAGATTTCTTTATATTGTGAACACAAGAAATGTGTTTGTTGTTAATGTTTGTCTCATTCACATATGTACCATTTTGTGCCAGAACTCAAACCTTACAAAGACGTTTGTGGAAGTTTGTCTCTCCTCTTTTAGATACTGTGTGTTTTTATCGTGTTTACATGCTCCAAAATTCATTCAAAGTCCATTACTATAACTGACATCATACCGAAAGCATTAGTTACTTGTCATGTACAGTGTAATACTTATATCCAGGTCCTCTGTGACATGCTGATTGTATTTGTAAAGCTATTTATTTGAACACTCTCCTCAGTGCTTTTCAATATGATCTTTTTGTAGGTATGTCTGCCGTGTGTGTGTTAGGTTTAAAGGACTATTTATTTGCTTGTATGAATCTAACTATTAATAATTTGCACAATACTTGACTGATGCATTCATTAAAACACATTTAAAGACCATTTCCACAGAAGATGCCATCAAATGGCCTGAAAATGTAGAGTGTGACTTGTTGGCTGAACGTGTTCGCTGTTCTGTTTGGAGTTACCACTGAACAGCTTTGTGGTGAATGTTTGGACAAAGCAGTTATTAAAATTTCAAATTGTTCACTTGAATCCTGAGTCATGTGACCTCATGTGATTCCTGACTATTAAAAGGTTGCGATCAAACACTTTAAGGGACACATATATCTTTATTACTCTACTTTGTAAAGAAGCAGAAAGAAAGCCTTTCAGAAACTCTGCAAAATGCTAAACCATTACCGTAACTTTTCACATTTGTTCTTCACTTGTGGCTAGTGCTGCCTTTAAAGGTCCAGTGTGTAGGATTTGGTGACATCTAGCACCGAGATTGCAAACAGTGGCGCCCTCTAGAGGCGGCCCCTGCTGATGAAAATAATTGGTGGCCCATGTTAGGGTTTTCAAGAGGCTGTGGTGCGCTCTTTTTTTCTTTTGTTTTAAGCTAATGCAAAGGCATCGATTGGTACCAGCCATCTTGGCATAGCTTGTCAGGAAGGGGACTAAGTAACACAAGGTAACAACTAAAGGCCTTTGCACACTGAGTCTGTTTTTTACAGATGCGTTTCTTTATCTGTCAATATGTCAGTCCTTGCACGCTGATTCTGATGTGTTTTATTTTTCTATTTGGTGCTAAAATTCGCAATACATGACAAAATAAAAAAAGACATTTCCCTCTCTGCCTCTCTCCTCTGGAGTTACCTGTCTGACCGACATCACTTCCTCCATGTCTTTCATTTGGCACTGCGGCTGCACGAAGGGGTGGAGCTGTCCTCCCTCTCTCTCTCCACATTCTGTGTGCGGTCTACATCCTCCTCTTCATCATCACCTACCTGAATATTACTATCTGACCTGTTGAAAGAAGCTATCTGAGTTTAGCAATGATTCTGTGCGCCCTGTTCCTCTGTCTTGTAGAGGCAGTGTCCTGCCGCCACATTTTCTTCACTGATTCTTGGTCCAACGTTTCTAAATGCACTGACAGATGCGAAAAACACAAAATAGAACCTGTTTTGAAACTTTTAATGACGGATGAAAGTATTGGACTCAGTGTGCAAATGTAAAGTCTTATTTATCTTTAGATGTGTGACAATTCTGGACGAAAAAACAGACTCGGTGTGCAAAGGCCTCAACATGGTCATTTTCAAAGAAGGTTCCTTGGGTCCCACCTCAAGATATCCGAATGCTTTGAATACTCGTCAACTTGAGACATGTTCCTAGTAGATGTTTTTGTTCCTTTGAATCAATGTACTCCTTAAAATTAAAGCTGTATATTTATCTTTTTAAGGAAAACCTACTTGAAGAACAGTGAATCGCCAAACACTTATATAGATACATAACACATTAAAACAGGATTGTTCTGGAACTCAAAATATTAACTGTACCAGTATTCGTCTATGCACATCAGATAATTAGCAATGTTAACTGTAAAATAAGAAACCAATAACAGCATGCAATTCCTTGACATAGCTGTAACTAGCAGATATACTTAAACAGCGGACGTGAATACCTTAAATTCAGTTATGCCTTTTGGTTTTGGTGAGCCACCCCAAAATCTTCAGTGGCCTCATTTGGCCACCTCTGTGAAAAATATCTGGGGGCACCACCTGTTGCAGAACTGAAACTTCTCCTGTGTGCCAAGCATGTAGGTGAGCTACAGTAGCCAACGTGAAAACACTTTGTATGGAGATATGAACGGCTCGTTCTAAGGTAACAATAACACAATGATTCTTATTTTTAGGTGATGATAAACTAATGAAAACAGTCATGAGTATTTTATACCATTTATACCAATAAATGCAGCTAAATCCTTCACACAGGGCCTATTATCTTATACACATTTATCAGTAGAAAATCTGAAGACATGAGTTGTCCTTATGGGAGTCCGTTATGTGGTGATAATCTCCAAACTGTCAAAGCAGCACACAGGTCTTCTTGTCTTTGAAAGGATTGGCTGAGGCAGTGATGCCAGTGAGCAGAGGGTCACTGCGCCTGTGCTCCTGACAGTACCGGACCAAGTCAGCTGCTGTCAGGGAGATCTGCTGGGACAGAGGTGGACAGGGTACTGAAATATTAATGTAAAAAATTATTTGGCATTGGATGTTTATGATAGAAACGTGGAGCATATATTCTGAGCTGTAGAAATCTTCAAACCACCGATCTCATGTGGTGCAGTTCAGGTCTATGATGAAGCTATCATGCATACAGATGATCAGATTGTTAACCTACCTTGATTCTCTCCATGCCCGCCTCCACCCGCAGCTGATCCACCAGTTTTTGTGCCTGAATAACGCTGTTGCTGCTGCTGCACATCTTTCCTGACATTACCTTCAGTATAAAAACCCTGCTATCAGGACTCGGTGTCCTTTGTCACGACCAAAAGGAGCAGCAGGAAAATGATTTCGAGCCGTATGAATCCAAAGAGCCGGCACAGGTTGTGCAGGAGTCTGGTCAGAGGAGCTCCTGACTGCCCTTTCTCACCTGTGCCCCCTTTTTATTCACTGTTGGGGCCAGTTCAAAGGCCCTGTGATATGAAAGGTCATACAGCACAGGGTTGTAAAGGTCACACACATCACACATCACTTCACAGACACTACTGATGTGAAAAGATTATCGGCTGGGGCATTATGCTACGCTGCAAGTGTGCTTTCTGACTTGAAGCTACTATGTGTGTGTTTGCTTTTTACTAAAGAGGCAGGCGACTCATTCAAAAGAGGAAGAGTGTGTTTATGGAACAATAGAAAGGTGGGGCATTTGAAGTCTTTGGGGAGAGAGTGGGGACACATCTCATCAATATACTGACAATAAATAGAGAGAAAAAGAAAATGCAATGCTACGATAGGCCCCCATGCACTGCTGTCTGGAATAATCACTAGCAAATGTAATCATGACCTTAAATAAACTTAACAAATTCAAAAGTCACACAAAACAGAATAAAGGTCACAAAAGCAGCAGTTAGTTGCAGGGGGCTCTATACAGAGGCACACATCTGCTTTACCTGGCTGTAAAGTCGTCAGTGACGTCATTATGCATAACGCAGTTATGTGTCAGTGAGCTCAAGTTTCAAAGAACTTCGCTCAGCAGAGGCAACTGACAGTGCTGTAGCGACGCCCACATTTCCCATCATGCCTAGCGCTAGGCTGGGTCGTGTGTAGTCTGAAGTAAAGTTTGCTGTTTTTTGCTCCAAAACGCAAATGTCATATTTTGTTAGATTTTATAATGTGTCTGTTTTAAAGCGGTGGTTTATGCTGGTTGTTATCATTTTATGTTAGTTTATGAGTGACACCATTAGTGAGTTCGCTATTACACTTCGTCATAGCTGCTTTCGTCGTAAAGTAATTTATAGATTAAAACCGATGTGTGGGCGCTTCAGCAGACCTGCGGCAAACTCACATTGGCCTCATCTGTATGTGTGAAAATTAAAATAGCCTGAACAGAAACAAGTGGATGAATCAGAGAGAGTACCTTTTGAATTTGATTGTCGGGGAGGACAATAATGAAGGCAAAGTGCAGCATAGCATTAGCGCCACCTAGTGTGTTAACGGCCGAGGGAAAGTTCAATTAAAATTCTCAGCGTCCACATTATTAGGTACACCTTGCTAGTACCGTGTTAGACCCATTTTACCTTCAGATCTGCCTTAATTCTTGGTGGCATAGATTCAACAAGGTGCTGGAAACATTCCCCAGAGATTTTGGTCCATATTGACATGATAGCATCACACAGTCGCTGCAGATTTGTCGGCTGCACATCCATGATGAGAATCTCCCGTTCCACCACATCCCAAAGGTGCTCTATTGGACTGAGATCTGGTGACTGTGGAGGCCATTGGAGTACAGGGAACTCATTGTCATGTTGAGATGATTTGAGCTTTGTGACATGGTGTGTTATCCTGCTGGAAGTAGCCATCAGAAGATGGGTACACTGTGGTCATAAAGGGATGGACACAGTCAGCAACAATACTCAGGTAGGCTGTGGTGTTTAAACCATGCTCAGTTGGTACTAAGGGGCCCAAAGTGTGCCAAGAAAAAATCCCCCACACCATTACACCACCACCAGCAGCCTGAACCGTTGATACAAGGCAAGAAAACCAGACTCATCAGACCAGGCAATGTTTTCCCAAACTTCTGTTGTCCAGTTTTGGTGAGCCTGTGTGAACTGTAGCCTCAGTTTCCTTCAGCTTTCAATTCTAGTATGGTACTGGATAGTTTCATAAAACTGGTGCCTTGTATTTTAAGTGTTATGTTCTGTGAGGAAAGTCTCAGTCTGCAATGTAACCAGTATAACATGTCAGATAAACTCTGTCAGGTAAAATGTAGTAGTACAATGTTTTCCTCTGAAGTACAAGTAGAAGTACACAGTAAGTGAGTAGTGGTGTTGCATTGCATTTTTTCAAAGTGCTTTGGGGGCTTTCTGTAAGTTATTTTGGGGTACAATTAGTAACAATAGCAACATAATTTAATATTTTTCAAATCTGAACATCATAATAAATCTGTTGCTGTCTGGGGTCCAGGTGTATTGCTTAGGAAAGTGTGGTGTCGAGTGTGAAGTTGTTTGTGTGAGCGGTTCTCAAGAAAGCTGCAAACAGCAATACCACAGGCCAAGCATGTGACCTGTTCTGAACAGGCGCGTTTTAAGAAGGAAGTTTCTTTCAAATGTATTAAAAAGGGGAGAACTAGAATGTAATATGATGGTTATATGTGACAGTGATTCAGCAGTATTATACAGTACTATACGAACAGTATAGTGTGTGCACTTTTCCTGCACAGCCCAGGACCCAGGAAAGTGTGCCTGTCTTTGAAGCCAATATTCATAGTGGCCAAACAGCGGTACTGCAATTACCAGGGTCTGTCATGTGATGCCAACGCCCAAAGGAAAGTTTTGCTGACAGTCACAATGCTCACAGCAGTCTAGTCTTTGTCTCGTCAAAAATAAAGAGATAAAATACTGAGAGTTGAAATCAAATTGCTGAAATTGTGCAGGCTCCTTTATGAGCCAGTCAACACTTCTTTTGGATCTTACTGTTATCTCAAGAGATGAAATAAAGATTACTGCAGTGAGAGAAGGAAAAGAGCATTTTAAGATCTTAAATTATCTCATATTGATGTTATACTGAGGTCAGTTATGTCTGGGAGAAATAGGTTGGACAAAGAACAGATTTTATTTTGACTTTTCCTTTCATCTTTGTGGCCCCAAAATACATTTCCCTTTCGACTTAAACTGGGATAGAGATGTCTATAAGTTAGTGAATACATTCTGTTGAGTGTCACAACCTCTGCAAAGTGACTCGTTCCACTATGAAGATTTAATCCATTCACTTTGATAACATTTCCAAAGTCTAAAAGAGCTGCAAGATTAAATTATGCTATCCCCTTGAAGATAGCGGAGCACAAAACCCGAAGTCAGTTTCAATACATCCATGGTGCGCCCCTCAATCGTATGATCTAAGATTGAAACTGTTAAGGTAGAGGGTTAGCCCCCCCACATGTTGATTATGGCCCTGCTTCACAATATCATTTTATTTTAGATACATACAGTAAATACAATTTACTCCATACAACTAATACTTAATACGCTTGTGCAAATTTCAAAAGCAGCACACTGACTTTTAATGGTGTCAATCAAGTGTGGTGTTGAGAAGAGTTAGAGTAGCCCCTACTCATCCATCTCTGGTCAACAAACGCTTATGTAAATGTTTGATTATTGCAAATAACTGAATCTAGTGAATATAGTAATTAAAACAAATTGTTTACTATTATATTCAGAAGATAATGTATGTATTAAAGACTGTATTTCGACTGTTTTACTTGAGCGCGAATATAGTTTTGCCCCTTTTGTCCCTTCGCGCTTTCCGTAGAGGGAGCTCTCTTGCCGCAGGGTAGACACATGCGTTGTTTACAGTAATGCACAAATTCAATAACCGTCTTTCTGGTGTCTTTCGGTGACAGACAGTTACTTCTTCACCATCGTCATCAACTGACGCCTCGTCAAGAGCGGGTATGTTTGTATTTCTGTCTTCTAATGTTTAATAAGGATTAAAGTCAGTCGAGAACCAGCTAACAGCTAGCTTGTATACTAGCTAACATCATACCACCTCACTGCCTGAAATAAAGGGTCTGAACGCTTAAATGAGGACTTAAGTGTTTGATACAGTTGCAAACAAGTCTTAAAATGTGTTTCCACTTTGTCGTTATAGGTTATTGTGTGTAACTGAAGGTAAAAAAAGTCGATTTAACCTATTTTAAATGAAGTCTGTAACACTAAGCACTTAAAGTGAAGGGGTGTGAATACTCTTCTTTCAGCAGCTATATTAACTATACAAACACTAAAGCAAACAATTATTTGCATCAGGAATGTTCTTTTCAACCTGTTTATGCAGGCTAAAATAAGTGAGACTGGTTAAACTGGATATTCATGTATTACAGTTGTCTTCCATTATATAACTGAACTTGAAATTTGCAAAAAACAAACAAGACAGCCAGTCCCATCAACACTCGTGACCCCTTCCTCTGATTCCCCTTCATCGATTAGTGTCTTTGGCCGAGGCGTCTGACCCAGAGGCTTTCAGCAGAGCCTGTACTTGAGTATGTTTCATGATTCAGTGAGCTGAGATTTTCTGTACATGTCAGGGCAGAGCTGCAATCTGTCACCACATTCTGAGCAGATAAATGATTGTTACTTTAGGGCTCTACTAACCCACCAACATGCTGTTTGTGTTTTGCAGAAAACATGGCAGGCGAAGTTCCTTCTGTTGCCGCACAGGCCGTCCTGATGCCCAGTTGCGAGATCCCAGAGGACATGCTCAAGATCAGAGGCTATGACTTCAACGAGGGTGTCGATCTCCAGGCGGTGCTGAAGACCTACATTACTACTGGTTTCCAGGCCAGCAGCATGGGCTTGGCCATCCAGGAGATCAACAAGATGGTGAGGGGAATGGCTGTGTAGAGAAGGTTATCTCACAGAACACCCCAACATTTTCACATTTACCTCTGTTAGTCATGCAGATAGTTTTGGTGTCATTCAGCCAGGTTTTGAGATATTTGCCCCCGTGATTTCTTCCTTCAAGTGAGGTAAATGTGATGTCATTGGTGTGACTCACCGCGCTAAAAAAAAAAATACAACAGCAACAGGTTGTCTTTCGAGAAACAAAGTCCTTGCTAGTCTGGAAGAAGCTATCCACCTCACTTTAATCATTTTCTTTTCTTCTGTTCTTATTTTTGGCTTTTATTTTGACAGTCAGTGCAGACAGGAAATGTAGGGAGATATTGGTATGATTTGCAGTTGCAACATATGCAATGACCTGCAGTTATTTGGTCAACCCCTAAATCATTCAGCTACCAGGGCACCAATATTAAAGCTATATATAAATATGTAATACTTTCAGATAAAAAAAAAAAAAAGTATGGAAACTGTCAGCTTGGTCTGTGGATTTTTTTAAAGTAACAGTTAAGCA